TTCCAATTAAAAAGCGGGGAGCGCAATTAATTTTCATCAACTCTACCCCGACCGGTGCACTTTTCTTTTTTCCGCCACGCGCGTGCTTAATTAAAATCTGAAGCGGCGGCGGAGATTTTTCGTCCATAATTGCGAAATGCAATCAGCGAAAAGTAGTGCCGCGCGCTCCAGAACTTCTTTCAACTGAGAAACCCTTGAGTAGTTTTCAACTGCAGACGACCGGCTATGGCTGTCATTTGACGCGTGCGGGGGAAAGAGGAGAGAGAGGAGCAGATGCAGGCCGCGAGATAATTTTCCTCTCTTTTCAATTAAGATGCAAAAGGAGCGCTTTGTATGTGTATTTTCTTTTGCTTTTTGCAGCGCCAAAGAAGCAGGAAAGAGAGACGAAGAGAATGAAAGGCCTCAGACGTTAAACTCGCAAGAACAGTGCTGCCAACTGGATAACAAGGCTCATTTTTTCTACTTATTAACTATTAATTAAGCTATATTCGCAAGAATCGACTAAGAGAGTGAGCTTTGAAAGGATTGCCATTTACACATTATTATTTTTAAACATAACGTTACTGAAAGATTTAAAAACTCTAAAAATATCATAAAAATTTTACGTTTTGCATGTCTTGAATTGACAAAGCAATTTTTCTAATCGTTGAAACATTATGTCAGTATTTAAATTATTCAAAACTTGAAGTATTTGATTTAAAAAATTCACTCATTTTATTGAAATAGTCAAAGCATATTTTTTAAAGAATTTTATTTTAATATAAAAGCCTAGACTCTGACAAACTGTATAATCTTCAAATTTGACGTGGTAAGGAAATCTTGCGTTTGTTTTTAGGATTATACCTTTTCTGTTCTTCTCTTTTCCATCGACAAAAAAAAACAAACTTTCTACGTCCATCCCCCATACATACCCTCTTTTATTGACATTGCACTTTTTCAGTATCCTGAAAACTTTTCCAAATGCACCGACTTGCTGGTGGGTTGCATTTGTACAAAGGGCGGATGAGTTCTGAAAACTCGAGGTGTGCTCCCGCGCGGGTTGTTTTATCCGTCCCCTGGAGCACTCCCGAAAAGCTATTCCGCTTTTGTGCTCCGCTTGTTTTCATTGTTGTTGTGCATTATTCCGGCAGGCATCCCTCAGCTGCAAAAACAAGAAACACGGCGCCTGCTGAAGCGCACCACAGCCTAAATTCTAGCTGAGGAAAGGAAATCTGCCCACGTTTAAAAAACAAACGATATTATATAATTCCACGTTGGTAAAAAAAATTACATGGAAAAAAATAACACATCCTTCTTGTCTGGTTTATTTCCAGCAATTTTTTGGTTACTAAAAATGCAAACAAACAGAAAACTTGTAAGACAAGCACGTTTGCACTAACAAACATGAAGATAGTTTTGAATAATTTTTTCGGCACATTTAAAATTAAACAAATCAACTATGAATGAAAGTGGCTATTTTTGGAACATTTTTAACCATGTAAATATTTATTTTATCTGGTTTTTTTAACTTAAATTTTTTATCAGAGATTATGTTTTCTTTTGTATTTATAACATTTTAACATTGAAATATGTTTAAAATATCATTTATAAAAAAAGTTGTCAGATACAAAATAAAACTGATATTTCACTTTGAATAATTCTAAATAATATTTTATTATGAATTTATTTTACTAGAACAACATGCTAATTTCAAATTTGATCCTTCACAATTGAAGAGTAAAAAGTATCTCGCTTGCCAACATAAATTTTGTTGTGTACACCTTTGTGAATTTTCATGTTTCTTGCTGCATTGCGATGAAAAGCAGCCGCCGATATACTTGACATGCGAGGTGATGAATTAAATCTGCACGCTGTCAGCTGAGAATGCAATCAGCAGGCGTGTCACGTCGTGCGCCGCTTTTGTTATTACTTGTGGGCATGCAAGAGAGATGCGCCCTTATAATAATGTGCCGTTCGCAGCCGACGGACAGACGAGTGAATTTTGCGTCTCGCATTCTGACGCTGAGCAGTTTGGTTGACAGGTGTTGGCCGGGGTGGCCGATAGTTACGCCAGGGGCTCGCCTGGCCACACGTGGGCCAAAGGACCGGCGGACGTGCGTCGCATTAGTGAAAAGCGCTCGGCCCTTCCCGGAAACTTTGCAGGCGCAGCGAATGCAATATTTTGCCTTGTTTCAACCACTTCAACTCAATTTTCGGTGACAAACGGTTTCGCCAACGGAGGGCGATTTTATTTGCTTCGCCAGGTTATTTGGTCTGTTTTGTAGAGACTATAAATTCCTTTGGCGAGTTTTATATAATTTTTAAAAATTTCTCTGATATTGAATTGATATATTATTATTATTGGTTTATTTGTCCACATTGTTACAAATACATTGTACATTGTATACATTCAATTATTGAAACAACGAAAAGACATTTAAAAAAAATATTGTCTTATTGTAAGAGTTGCGTGTAATTAACAAGAAATTGTCAATTAATTGAAATGGAGGAGAAATTCTGCATGAAATATACTGTATCAAAGAAAACTATACAAAAATAACCACGCATAAAATTAGAAATGTACAATTTGCAAAAAGCTAAGGCGTCCGAATGAGTTTCTGAGTGGATTACTCATAGTTTTGGCAGTCATTCACCCTCGCAATATTTTGTTAAATAACCGCACACAAAAAGTATGATTGATGAACGCAAATAGATTTGGAGAGAAAAAGGGCAAAAGTTTGCATTTCGGAGGCAAAAAAGTTCTTGATTTCAACAAAAGTGTGGTGCGAAAACTTCTTGAGGGCATAAATCTGGGCGTCCGAGGATTTGACGAAGTGTAAGCACAAAACGCACGCCCTTTTCACGCAGGTCCCGCGAGAGCACCGAAGAAAGGGAGCTGGCGAGAGTTTTATTTATGAATCGGAATATGAATGGACTGCTGGCTGAACAAACAGACGAGACAAAACTTTTTGCCATTGTTTTCTTGAGCAAACAATCAACTTTGTGCACTTGCGAGCGGGCAAACTTTGGTTCGGATCGGCTGCGAGGCGAGCGCGCGGGGGCTGAAATAAAGGCCGCCTATGAAATTCGCTTCCATCGCTCGGCACATGAATAAATTACGAGTCCGCAACGTGTCTTGTATAAAAGAATAATCCCGGTTTTCTCCTCAGTGTTTGGTCAGACGCAAGAAATTCTATATGCAAATGTGGCGGCTGCGAATTTGGCAGCCGATGCAAATGGCCTTTCCATCTGGGAGAGCGGAACCGCAGACAAGTTTCTCAACCGTCCCTTTCAATTATGCGGACGTACATTTAAATGCAACTGTCCGAATGGAATTGAAAGGCGAAAACCCAATCATAAATTTTAGCCTACTCTGCAGTGCCTCTGGGTGGTCTTAAATTTCATCATTTTGGTAAATTAGAATTTATAAAAGTACTCTTTGTGAGCATTTATCAGTTTTTTCACATTCCCATAACTGCCAATCCAATTTTCATGACTTTGTGTTTAATCTATATAAAAATTAGAGTAAAAGGAATATTTAAAAAATTTATGAAAAATATTTTTTTTTGTAGTTTAAAGTAAAAATAAAAAATAAAAAATTATTTTAAGAAGAAAATTTTTTTTTAATTTAATTTTTTTTTTTTTATTAATATTAACCTCCATTTAAAAACACATTTAAGTATTGTAAAGTTGATCATAATTATAATTGTGTTATATTTGTGTGCATAGTAACATTTAACAAAAATATGTAAATATCTTTAATTTAAACAATTTTCAGGACTTTCGATAGGTTGTCAACTTAATGTAATGTCAAACATTTATGTAAATGGAAATGTATACCTCTAAACAAAATAATAATACATTTGTTTTTAGGTGTTCATAAAAAGAATTAAAACAAAATAATTTAAAAGTTGTAGTGTTCGGAAGTTGAGCATATTTCCTAGAAATCTAGTCCCAGTCCTATTTGTGGCACTCGACATCTGAGATCCGCATGAGGCTTTCTCTGAGCAAGAAAAAGTTATTTATTTTGCATACCCAGTTAAAGCCGAGAGATTCTGTTTCACAAACATGAGAGAGGTCTTTTTTCAGCGCAACATCCACTCTTGTGTCCATTACTACATGGTAATACCAAAGCGGAATTTTCGACCTTGATCAAGGTCACCTGTCAATCATCTTTTTCAGGGTCGTACCTGTCAATCATTTTTGAGGGTCGTACCTGTCAATCATTTTTTCAGGGTCAATCAACTGACAGGTAAGGCGCACAGAATTTGAAGGGGGTAGAAAGTCGGTTGTGAGAGAGTCGCTGTATCAGGCGCACAGCAAATAGGAGTATGTCAAAGGAGGGTGCATCGGTTGAAGGTCACACTGTGTGTTGGGCTAACTGAACAAAAGAGTTATCACGAGTGCAGCACGGGGGTACGTGTGCAACGTCCGAGAGCTCGATTGAGACTGACTGAGAAAATAAAAAATTTTGAATTTAAATAAAACTTGACATGTGTCATATAAACCTGTCAAAATAGGTATATAAAGCAAGGCGCGCACTTTTTGGGGCAACATTCGAAGATTGTCAGCCCTGGCTGCGCGTCGCACGTCCCCCGTGCGGTTAGGGATTAAATACATGAAAAAAAAAATCTACCTGAGAAAGGGAAAAAAGAGAGAGTGTGGTCAGTTCGCAGTGTTTTCGTGCATTGGAAACAAGTGAAAATGGCTGAGCTGGAAGAAAATATTGTTAAATTGTGCTACAGGCAGAGTATGATATCAAAAAGTGTGCGGAAAATGTTTGGCAAATGTGCCAAAATTTTGAGTGATGAAGTTGAAGAGAACGATTTGTTCCTCAGCGAATTCTGCCAAAATCGTGGGGTAAGAAAATGACCACGTTTTTTTTTTTTCTCGAAATTTCTTGAATTAAATTAAAATTTTTTTATTTACATTTTCTTCTTTTCAAATAGGAACTACCCGCAATTCGAGAGGGTGTATGGGATTGCGTGCGCAAAAAAAAATTAGAGGCGCTCGATTATAATTTTTTAATTGAATTTCTGCGCATTTCTCATTACAACAGCCGCACGGCTCAAGCTTTGCTTTACGTGCTGGGCCGCAGATTGCTAGACGAGAGCGACGCACCCCCCATGAGCTTGTACGAAAAGTACGCTCTGCTTTTTCATCTCGGCAGACTATATTACGAGAGCACGGTATTTATTTTTTTTTTATTTGGTTAAATTTCATTAAAATCATTTTCAAACTATTCAGCTTGAAGACGCCAGCGTAAACAATCAATTCGCTTCGGCTGGAAAAGTTGGCGCCAGCAGCGAGCGAAAAGGCAAGAAGAGATCGGCGGTGGCGCTGTCGTCACCTCAATCGGAGGGGCGTGGTCGCGCAAGCAAGAAAATCAAAACAAACAGTGTCGGCTTTGATGGAGATTCGCCGGAGAAAATTGAGAAGAAACGTCGTCGCCGCGGGTCCTCCGATGAAAATGAGGAGCTTGAAAAGAAGAAGAAGAAAGTGGTCGACATCTGTCCAAACAGTCGGCCGCCTGAAAATGCAGAGAAAAGGAAGAAGAAAAACATCGAGGCTGCACCCGATGCACGGTGCAAATTACAGGATGAGTCGGAGAAAAAGAAGAAAAAGAAAGACCAAGTGTTCGCTACTCATCACGGCGCTGAAGAAAAGCTTGAAAAGAAAAAGAAGAAAAAGAACAACTCGGAAGACTGCGAAAATCAGAGGCCAGACGGCACCTCGGCGGGGCGTGTGAACGTTCCAGGTTCTTCACGAGGGCCGTGCATCGCTGTAACCTCGAGCGGCTGCAACCAAGGAAAGGGACTGCAGACGAAATCAACTGCTAAATTGACCAAGGAGGAACGGGCGGAACGACGTCGGAAGCGGTCTCTAGAATTTGACGCGCAGGTTTTTTCGTTCAGCGAGGACGAGGACGAGGAACGCAACTCGGACGACGATTTTGTTCAACCGCGAAAAATATCCGAGTCATCTATAAAGAAAACACCTGCAAAGAAGCCAGTCAGGGTGGATGACGACGAGGACATTTGGGAATATCGACCGATTACTGTCCCGCAAGAGACTCGGAACCGCAGCGAAGAAATCAGCTGCTCTCAAGTGTTGGACGAATTCCTGAAAAAAGATATCGATCAACTGCCTCCACTCGACCAGGAACAAATAGAGGTGATAAATTGTTTATTAATAAATATTTTCAATTAATTAGGAAAAAAAAAATTAAATAATTTTAATAGATAATTTTTCATTTTTAATAAATAATTTTTTTCAATTGAAATTAAAAATTCCTTGTATTATGTTTTAGATGTTCAACGCTCTACAACCACCGGTGCCAAAAACTAACCCTCAGGTAATTTAAACCTAAAATTTATTTAACAGCACTAAATAAAATCATATTTTCAGGCAAGAGAGCTTGGGCGTGGTCAAGCTGGCCACCTTGAACAAGAGGTAAATTTAATTTTTATAAATAAAGTCACATGAATAAAAGTTTTGTAATGTAAATTAAATTCTTGTTTTTTCTGAAATGAAAATTAAAATATTGAAAATGTTTACCATGTGATTGTTTGTGTTTCAGAATACCGTCTTACGTCCAGCTAAATCAACTCAACGCATGGGTTTCTCTGTAAATGATTATTATTTTCCAAATAATTATATTTTAATTACAAATTGTTGTTTTTAGACTAACGAGCCACCCCAGCTGATTCATGGCTGTTCATCACAGGTATGATTGGAATAAATATTGAGTTTGTTATTGATATTAAAGTAAATTTTTTATAAATTTTCAGATGGGGGATCAGCTGCGTGGCCAGACCGAGCGAGTGACACCACTTGAACCTGAGGTAAATGTTTTTTCTTTGATTAGATGTTAACAAACAGACTGTAATTGTAATCATTCTTTTCTTAAATTAAATAAAAGACAACTTATATGTAATTATTTTAATTTCAGATCATTATTTTACATGATCAGCCGCTCCCGCCGCTTCACAGCTCATCGCCACCACAGGTAGGTTTTAGAATAAAAATAATTTTATTACCAAAACAAAATCTTATTTTTCTAGAATCGGATCAGCGCCCTGACTCAAATGTGTCAAAAACTGAACTCGTCATTCAACGACAAACCTCTACACCAGGTAATCAATTATTTTGTGTTAAAAGTAATCAATTATTTTATCATTATTTATGTTCCAGGTCGCGAAAATGCCAAAAGGTCAACAGAGTCTACGAACGGTATGTATTTAAATATTTTTGCATTTGTGGTCATTTATTAATAAAATATACAATTTACAGTACCCAAAACCAGTTGATGGATCGATCCTGTCCAGCCTGCTTCAAGATCCAGCAAAATCTGCACCTACTGTTCATCAGGGACAACAACAAGCGCCACTGCATCAACCAGGACCACCAGTACTTCAACAACAGCAATTGCCAGCACCAGAAATGTTACAACAACAGGGACCGCTTGCAGTGCAACAACAGCGACCACCAGAGCAACAACAACAACAACGAAGACCATCCAAACTGAGTCTACGAAGGGTATGTATTTAAATATTTTGCTTTTATGGCCAATTTATTAATAAAATGAACAATTTACAGTACCCAAAACCAAATGAAGGATCGATCCTGTCCAGCCTGCTTCAAGAGCCCGTCGACGATCCAGCTAAACCTGCTCATCAGGAACAACAACAACAACAACAAGCGCCACTAAGACAACCAGCGCTGCAACAAAATGGATCGCCTGCACTGCAACAACCAGGACCAGCTGTACTTCAACAATTGCCACCATCAGAAATGTTACAACAAGGACCGCCACCAGAGCAACAACAACAGAGACCAGCCAAACCAACTTTACAGCAACAACCAGCAGAGCAACAACAGCTGGGTCCTCAACAATCTGTCGCTCAACAAGCACCAACATTGGAGAAAGACCAACAACCAGGAACATCTCAGCCTTGTTCTTGTGAATGTTGCGACCATGTACCAAGGGAATCTCGTAAAAAGAAGAAGAAGACACCTCCCAAGATTTTGCTCGTCGTCAGACGTTACCCTCGCAGAAAAACCACAATCCTCGGTATTAGAAAAAAGAAACGCCCTGCTCGTCCAGCAGCAGCAGCACCAGCAGACACACCTGCGCCACAACCGTCGACACCAACTAATCTTGCACCACCTCCTGCTGTCCCAGGCCCTAGTGGTTTAAGACAAGTACGTATGTTGGGTGTTGACGGTCGCATTTATTATGTCAGATGCTGAATAAAATACCCTCTACTCAATAATTTGAATCTTTGCTTTTGATTCATTTTGAAAAACATTGATAAATAAATTTTTTTTTCAAGAAATATAAAAAATGCAATTATAAAAATGTTTTGAATAAAAATAAATAAATAAATATAAATTTAATATAAAAAATAAAATAATTAGTAATTTAGATAAATATAAAAATATTTCTCTTGCAAATTACAAAGTAAATTCAATTAATATAAGTAAATCTCTGAATTTTTTTTTCAAATCTTTTGACACAATCAGAGCATTCATTTGTTTTTTCTTTTCATTTTTAGATTCAAGTTCAACAAGGAGGCGGCCAGCCGAAAACATTTAAAATTATAAACAGGAATGTATCCGTCAATGAAAATGTACACACCGATAGCATTGAAATGCAAGTTACCCTCGTACAACCTCGCGAAGGTGAGGACCCTTTTGAGCATGTCGCTGAAACAATAAGAGAAATTGTGGAGCACTGTAAGGTGGGTGCCCACCCCGATGATCGAATCAGTCTCGAGTTCACGCACACTAGCGACGGGGACATCCCTCCGATAACTGTGCCGGTCGTGAGAATCTCAGAACTGACTGGTGACAATGTATTAAATGAAATTGAACGTATCGCACAGAGTAACAAAACGTTTGAGACTGCAGGATTGTTGAAAATTGTTGCCAATAGAACAATCCTTCAAGAAGGCCGCACAACCAGACACGTAAATTTGTTCAATTTAAAGGGTTTAGGATTTGAGCGCGCCATAATTAAACATAAAAAAAGAAGTAAACTTTATCAAAGACCTACTAGAGAGAATACTTGCGGTGTTGCTTCTGCCGTGCAAGGTATGGCTATGAGAGATTATCAAAATGAAGTTGACCCAGTTTTAAGGAAACAAAAGCAAAAGCTTTACAACGAGTTCATAAGAGAGAGGGGAAATAAGTTTTTAAACAAAGTAGATCAGGTAATCAACAAATCTGGACTTAAGCTGGTGCACCAAGGCATGACTCATGAAGACTGGAAAAAAACTCAACAGGCATTTCCTGATTACCGTTTTGTTGTACACGATGGGAAAAAATTTGACAAATATATATTCAAAGGGGATCCACCAAACCCTAAGAATGGCACAATCTCGATCATCCTTGAGCAAGGTCACTATTTCTTCTGTCGCAGCGCTCCATCCTATTTCAATTACAAATACCTCTGTGAGGCGTGCGGCAAACGCTACACCACAAAAAATGGGCACAGATGCGAAAAAGTCTGTAGAAAGTGTGGATTTGCCGATTGCGGCGAGGAACAAGATATTGATATTCGGTGCCACAAATGCAACGTGCGGTTCAAAAGTGTGCAATGCTACAATGATCACAATCGTGTCCCGCCTAACAGAGATCATTCTCACTGCAAACTTTACGAACAATGTAAGGCCTGTGGTAAAACGTACTCAAAGACTGTGAACCACGGAGGAAAGCGACCCAAGAGACCTCCTCACACCTGCGGCGAATTCTTTTGTGACGCGTGCAACGAAAAGGTGGAATCGAACCATGAGTGTTTTATAAAACCTATTGAAGCAAAATCTCTAGAAGCCAAGGAAAAGCGTACAATAATTACATATTACGACTTTGAATGCACGCAAAATGAGGAAGTGTCTCCAAACATCTATAGACATGTGCCGAATGTTGTCTGCGCTAGAACAGTGTGTTACCATTGTAAAGATGTGCCGGAACTTGATAATTGCGATCACTGCGGTAGCAGAAATACCGAGATCACCAATCTGGAAAATCCCGAGATCAATGTGGCTAAGGAATTTCTGAACTTTGCTTTTGACAAGGCGCGAGGTTGTTACGAGGGGACGAAAGCTGAAAAAAATCGGATTCACATCATGGTTTCTCATTACGGTCAAGGCTATGATTCTCATCTGGTTCTCGGCGCCGCCATTGCAGAGCAAACGTGGAAAATTGAGAACGTGCTCATGAGGGGACAGAAAATCTTGTCAGCGACTCTCCGAAAAGATGATGTTACCGTAAAACTGTTAGATTTCTATAATTTTGTGCCCTCAAGTTTAGGAAACATGTGTAAAGCTTTCAACCTCGACCCTAACCTCAGTAAGGGGTCGTTTCCTCATTATTTTAACCGGCCTGAAAACTACAATTATGATGAAGTGGCTATGCCACCAATTGAAAATTGGCATCCTGAAGCTATGAAAGTGGGCGACAAGGAGAAATTCGAAAAATGGTGGGCAGAGAGTGACGCAGAGTTGAAGAGGGAGAACAAAAAATGGAACTTTAAGGACCAAATTATGCAGTACTGCAGGGATGACGTAAAAATTCTTCACCAAGCGGCAACAGCCTTTTGCAAGGAAATGAGAAAACTGAAGGTCGTACCGTTCCTCCAGGCTGTCACTATTGCTTCCCTATGTATGTTGATATACAAGGTTAACTTTATGGCTGCAAAGACAATAGGTAAAATTTAAATTACCTCTTTTTTTAACAAACAAATAATTTTATTCATGTTCTACAGGAATAATTCCAAAGAACGGGTACAGACTTGCCGACAACCAAAGTGGCGCTGCGCTAGATTATCTTCTTTACATTGAAAACCAGATGGGAATTATCATGAAACACGCAGCGAGAGGAAGAGAGTTCAAGGTAGATGGCATTCCAGTTGATGGGTATTACAAGGATGCACAAGGAAGAGAGCACATCTTTCAGGTAAGTTTCGTGTTTTGCATTGGAAGTCGCAAATAATATCAAATTCCATTTTTACAGTACCACGGCTGTTATTACCATGGCCATGACACGTGCATGAATGAATGTAGAGAAAAAATGTCCAAGAGGAAATTGCAAATCATGAAGGATCGCCGCAGATCAACGGAAAGCAGGACTGCACATCTCAGAAGAAAAGGCTACATCGTTGAAGAAATTTGGGAATGCGAGGCTAAGAAGTTTTTCAAGCAACACCCTGACTGTCTGAAACAGGTGCAGAAACTGCAACACTACAACACAAAGCCTATTCATCCAAGAGACGCTTTGTATGGAGGAAGAACAGAGACCTTCACGCTCTTTGAGGCCGGCATGATGCTTTACAAGGACTTTACATCACTTTATCCGGCCAACATGAAATATTGCAGGTAATTTGATGCATTCTAACTATTATTGCGTTTTTTTAACTCAAAAAATCATCGTCTAAGGTTTCCAGCGGGTCATCCGCAGGTTTTCCTGGGCGACGATCCAGACCTGCCTGACATCAAGGACGTTTTTGGTCTCATCAAATGCAGTATACTGCCTCCAGACAAACTATTTCAACCAGTTCTACCGTCTCACATCAATGGAAAAAACATGTTTGTGCTCTGCCGGACTTGTGCTGAAGAGGAGCGCCAATCGAGTTGTACACACACGAAGGAAAAGAGAGTTCTGACCCAAACGTGGGTCTCAACAGAAGTTCAGCTTGCTTTGGTCCTGGGTTACAAAATCGAGAAAATTTATGAGGTCTGGCACTACAAAGAAAGCGCAGTATACGATCCTGAAAGCAAGACTGGAGGCATTTGGACCGACTACATGAATCATTTTGTCAAGTTGAAACAAGAAGCCTCTGGTTTTCCTGACGAATGTGAGACTGAAGAGCAGAAGGACCAGTACATCAAGGACTATTTCGAGAAGGAAGGCATTCTACTAGAAAAGGACAATATAGAGTACAACGCAACCAAGAGAACAACAAGTAAACTCTGCGCAAACTCACTCTGGGTAAATATTTTGAATCAAGTCACACTTTAACCAAATGTTCACGATTAATTCTTGTTTCAGGGGAAATTTGCGCAAGCAGACAACCACCCGGAAACAATAATCTGCAAGGACTACAATTCCTTGATGAACATTCTGCTTGATGACTCGGTGACTGTCAAGGCCTTCAGAGATCTCAAGGGACATGCAGTGCTTGTCAATTTCGTGCGCCACGCTGACTACAAGAAGCACAACAAAAACACCAACTATGTCATTGCTGCCTTTGTCCTGGCTAATGCTCGCATCATGCTCTACAGACTATTGAACATTTTGGGAGAGGACTGCGTGTACTGTGACACAGGTACAGATTAACACTAGTTTTTTGACATTTGTGGACTAATTATTCGTTTTATAGACTCGGTGATCTACAGAATTCGCAACGGCGTCGATCCTCTCAAGAGTGGCGAGCTGCTCGGCGAGTTGACTGATGAACTGGCTGGCTACAGACCTCGAGGCTCTCCTCACATGCCGTACATATCTGAATTTGGTTCAAGTGGCCCAAAATCGTATGCATTCAGGGTTGTTGACGGCGGAACTCATGAAGAAATCGTCATCGTGAGAAAACTGAAAGGTCTGACGCTCAACTACTCCAACAGAGAAGTAACTGGAATGGATCACCTGAAGAAGTTGATTGACGGAGAGGTTGGAGACACCTATGTGACCCTTCCAGGTCAAATAATACGCACCAAACTGTTTGGCTTGTTCACTAAGACTGGTATGAAGAAGAAGGTTGGCCTGGTATTCAACAAGAGGCGCCGCGTCGGAAAGTACCAAACGCTGCCGTTTGGAACTGTTGACAGTGCTGTGGAAGTGCGTGTAGACATACCTAAGAATGAGTATGATTTCAGGCAGTGGGCGAATGTTTAATCAATAAATCTCTCATTTTTAAAAAATTATATGAGCTTTTAATTTCCAAATTCTCTAATCCTTTAGCTGCCGGGTGCCGCCGCCGCCGCCGCCGCCGGAGAGCCGCGCCGCCGCCGCCGGGGAGCCGCGCCGCCGCCGCCGGGGAGCCGCGCCGGGGCCGCCCGGGAGCCGCGCCGGGGGAGCCGCGCCGTCGGGGCCGGACCGGTGGCGTCCCGGGGGCGTTCTGAGGCAGCTTTTCGGCAGTGTGAATTCAAAATTGGAGGCGTTTTTTCTCTTCTTGTTTCAAAATTAGGGGCACTTTTTTACTATTGTTTCTAAACTGGGGGCCTTTTGCGGCCGTTTCCATATGATTTACATTGGTTTTTTGAAATTTCTTAATCAATTTTTGAGGCGTTTTTATCTTAATGATTCAGTTTTTGAGGCGTTTTTAATGCTTGTTTGATCATTTTTGAGGCACTTGGCAAAAGATTTTCATTGGAAATTATTAAATTAGGCAAACTTTTTTGAAGGAAAAATCTTAAATTTTATTGAGCACCAGCAATTTCAAATGTACAAAATTGTTTGATTTCATAAAACAAAAGCTTCTTGAGGGGGCTGTCAGCAAACAACTCTGGGTCGGCTGTGTGCAAGAGGTCCTCCAGCTCATGCATCATCCGGGATTTGAGGTGTTCCTTGGCGTAAGTTACCAGGTGGTCAAAGACAGCTACAGCATCAGGAGATTTGTCCACCAGTTGATTCATCACAACGCGCAGCATAGGAAGCATGTTGTAAAAGTATTCCCAAGTGGCAGCGGCGATGGTGACTGTCCTTTCACCAGGACCGTTCAGGACAATCACACTGTTGCCATAACTCTGCTGGAAGGTCAGGGCAACACTGTGAGACAAAACGATTTGGCCGCCTTCAACATTTTCTCCAGTAAAGTAGCCGTTGATGAATTGAGCATTGTTGATCAGTTCATTGAATGCACGTCCATCCAGTCTGACTCCAGGCATCCAGGGGCGAGAGATGACCACTGTTGGAGCAAAGCACATACCAGGGTCCAAGGCAAGAGTAACCTGCTTTGATCCAGAGGGGTTCATAGGGTAGATGTGACGAAGAACCAGCCGGTTCTTGTCCATGACCACCTTTGGCTGTTGCTGCTGGTGCTGGTGCTGGTTGTTCATTCTCTTGGAGGGATAGGTGTAAGGCCTTGTTCGGAACATCTTTGCAGGTAGAGTTGGTAGATCTCTTGCTTTCTCTGCTTCCTGAACTCCTCTAGCTCTTTCTTCCGGGCTTCCTCGCGTTGTTGTTGCTTGAGCTGGTGTCTGAGCACAACTGACTCTGGGATGGTCTTGTCCGTGTTATATAGGGTGACATAGAGTGGGATTGGCCTCCAGCCGTCAATCACGGTGATGTCATGTTTCTTGACATAATCTGTCAAATTTGACAGGTCGTAAATAATGTGTATTTTATAAAATTTCAAGGACGTTTTTACCTTTCCAAGTGATCTCAGATATAATCTCATCACGTTCGATTTCTGCCGAAGGACAAAGATTCCTGCAGTCACAAGTTACGAGTCCTCCATCTTTGTTGGCCCAGCACACATGTTTTCCGCTCACAAAGTATTCGGTCCCAGAGGTTCCAGTTTTGACGACAGCCGTCTCGTAGTCCATTGTCGAATGATGCTGCTACTGCTCGATGCTCTGCCTTTTAAAGCTTGTTTGACAGGAAGCGTCCAAGGTGATTTGTTATGATGTCGTTTGATGACAGCTCAGGGCCATATATTTTCAAAAACCTTGACATTTTCACGCCAGACATTCTATTTGCCAGGAAAAGTAGACAATAACGGCCACATTCTGATGTGTGGATCTGTTGCAAGGTCATTTTGTTTATAATAAAGTTTTTTGATTGACGTTCCAAAAATCTCTTGTGATGAGTCACAAATGGTGGATAACCGTAGCTACAAAAATACTCTGGTCTCCCTTTTACAGGAATAAACATGGCAATCCAGTGAGTACCCGTTTCAGCTGAAATGTCTGTATTTGCTATTATGGCTGCAGGCTTCTTGAACCTTGAAGGCAGTTCGTCAGCTGCGCAAACTTTGACAAAAAATTTGTTTCCAAACTTTTTGTTGAGTTTATTGAGTAGCTTTCGTAGCTGCAGCGTGTCCATTATTTAAAAAGTCTTTGAGAAAAGTTGCACTTTCCACGGCACAGTGTGCACTGTCAGAGCAATGATGTTTACAGCTGGATTTATACTCTCTTTTACGAATGCTAGGGCAATTTTTAAGATCTACGATTTCTCTGTTTAATAATTTTTGTAAAAACAATGCCTTATCACGACCTTTTGTGTAAATTTGCTTTTCGTTCGCTAATAAATTGAGAATTTCCGGTCGGAGCTCGTCTAGAGTTTTATCTCCGCTTTCCCAAGGAATAAAGTGATATTTTTTACACGCCCAGTTCACAATTTTCTTGTGCTTGGCAAGCAAACTGAGGTACCCACATGGAGGTTTTACAAGGAAACAGTGCGAGGTGTTGTTCTCTTGGAGAATGCAGATTTCTTTGGGGATTATAGATTTTTCCCACGTGAAACCCTGAATTTCAATAACGCACGGCATGATGCAGACTGATGTTTTGACCTCATCTTCACCCCTTATATACCAGGCTGCACTGCCTGGATCTGTCAATCTCTAGAGTCTCTCTATATTCTGCATACACGATCATGCTCACGGTCGTTTCCAATTCCTTCGCAAAGCCCACCTCGATGCGAATATTGCCATCTTGTGTTGAACTCCAGTGAGCTTCACTAGCTGAGAGGTCGGGAGTGAGATCCCAACAATAAAGACAGAACCCGTTTGGAAAATCATCCCTCGAAATGCAGTGTCCATCGTCAGAAAGGCCAATGCCGGTTCCAAAGAATGTCATCAAATATGGCTGCATGTACTCTCCGGTTGCATAATTCGGTGTAAGAGGTTTGCCTCCCACAGTCATCCCATTGATGGATAAGTTGAGATAATTTAAATTGAAATGCTCAAAGTTGAAAACATTTTGAGTGTACGAGCCATTGAAAGCAGAATTTTTCATCAGACCCATGATAATTCTTTGCGGTACTCGGCCGTTCAGCATATTTTCCACCGACTTTTGAAATACATTTTGACCAATGGTATAATGCAGCATTTCTGTGCGTCGAAAATGGTACAAAGCTGTTTTCTGTTGCAGGATTTTGGCATGAGCGAGCAAAATTGAGGGGTTGAGTGTTATTTTTCGAACGTACAGAGTGGCATCCTCAATGATCACCCGGGGGGATAGCTCTGCTGTGGACATGCACACGATAGAATCTGAATTTCGTCTCAAACTGATCCTCATGTTAATTTCGTTCAACAAAAATCTAGGAGTGTTCAATACATCCGCGTGCAAGCGTCCAAGCAACTCCATTGTTTTACTTTCAGCTAGGTATTCTGCCCGCTTTTTGGCAGGAACCGAAAGAGTGTCAAAAGCTGATGCAATATCTTGAAAATACCCAGCAGCAGTCAAATGGGTGGATTTGGAGCTATCATTGAAATTGAATAAATTTTCAAAGTATGCTTTCATGTGATACATTTGATGACACTGAGAGACAACAGTCTGATTGTATTCGACCACACAATCATTGAATAAAGAGCTTAGAACGTTGTTGATAACCGTAAATTGAGCATCTGCGGCTAATTTTTGTAATTTCGAATCAACCACTTTGATTTTGAGTCCCAACAAGGTTCGAGACGTGTCCACGTATTTATCTCCTTGGCCTTGCACATCAAATACCAGAGGGCTGTCTTGATTAATGGCGTGCACAGGTTTAAATTGAATCCAATCCCCAGAAATGACACCCTTTTGAGACACAGGGACACTAAACAGATCCAACTCGCCGCAGACACCCTCAACAGTTTTATCATCTTTGCTAGTCATTATGAAAAAATATCTCTTCTTTTCTTGGTAGAGGACTTCTTCTTCTTCTGACGACGTCCCCGCTTCGACTGAGCTCTCTTACGTTTCTTTGCTGGTTTTAAACCAGAACCAACCATTGTCTCGAGCTTATCTGCAGCTCTCTTTGTCAAATTATTGCCTGCCAGCGTTACACGTTCTCGCACACTCTCCTTGAGACTTTTGCCCCGGAGATTATCTTTCAGTAGCCCTACACCTGTGTTGAGAACTTCCTCTCCCAAAGCCTTTGCTCCTGATTTAATAAAAGGGAATATTTTTCTGAAAGCGTTTGCAAGTATACTTCCCAGCCCATCCCCCCTCTGAATCCTTGCGGTCTTGAAATTCCCCCCGAGCCCCCTGCCCCCTGTCTCGTTGATATAGAACGCAACATAATTATCAACTGAAGTCATCGTGAGGAGTGGCGGAAATGCAGCAGCACACTCGAAGTTCCACTCTCGAATGACACCTGGCGCCCATGATCGTCGCTTATATTTATCTCTACGTACTCAATTCTTTTGCAATTGAGTTTTTTGTAATGCAATCGCTCAAAGGTATAGCTTTTTTCAAAACCGTAATTATATTTATCAGCGTGAGATGGAACGTACCTCAACGATGAATCGTGCGAATTATCTATCAGTTGATGCTCAATTATATTTGTGTTGATACTAAGTACGGATGGAAGACCTCTGTTTGGGTTCACAGGTCGCACACCTTTGTGCAAATATTTTTGACCAATTATTTCGCCATTATTCAATCCTAGGATGTTAAATAAGTCGTAGGAAAAATAGAAGCTGCTTAACTTTTGGTCTTTCGTGGTTTCGATGCTGACAAAGTCGTTTGAATCAAGATTGAATGTCAAGTATTCGGTCATAACAGAATTAAGTTCTTGAATTAATTGGTCCGCATTTGAATAGTGCCCCTCCTTTATTTTGTAGTTCTCAGACTTGTCATTAACCACGCCTATTTTCCACCCGCCGTAGATATTTGCCAGCGTCATAGGAATCTTTAGTTCGACCAAGGCAACCTCCCATTCTCCTTCCAACAATACCATTTTTCCCAAATGTGTCTTAAAAGTACCAACTGAATTTTGATCATGGTATTCACCAGGAGCATTGCTGTTTAAATACAGATAAAAAGGATCCATTATAACTTTTTAAGGTCTCTTTCGTATATATACGAGTTGAAGGAATCAGGATAACCGACCCACTTGACAAGCAACCTACGACTGCGACCTTTTCCAACAGTCTTTATTATTTTATCTATTCTAAAGCGAGTCTTATCAGAAATATTAATTTTTTGTATTTCATGAAAGTAGAACCGGCCCTCTATTGGTTCGTTTTTTAAATCCTCAATTTCATACATCGTTACAGGTTTTCTTATGATTTTTTTCACTTTAAAAACTTCGTGAGTCCAATTACCTTCATAAGCTTTCATAAATATAGTAGAATCTCTCGAGACACGCACATGATCACCCACTCGAATTGATTTTCGTGGCTTTGCGTTGTTTAATTGTTTGTAATATCCGTCACCTTCATACAAATATCTGTACACTTCTTTTTCATTTTCTTTGTTAACCTCTGAGGGTTTCCGTCCAATGGCCGAGTGAACCGTGTTGTTGTAGCCTTTCACAAGATCTGGCAACACGTCTATGTAATTTTGAGTGCCCTTGTGTGTAAAGTATCTATGCATTCGCTCCTTAAGAGTTCTATTGACCCTTTCAACCACGCCACACTTGGTCATGTTTACAGGATTCCTGTACCTCACGTTATTTTCTTTCAAATATTTTTGCAGTTTAGAGTATTTGAATTCAGAACCTCGGTCAGTTTGGAAATAACGTGGAAAGTTATCGCTTGAAAAAACGGATTTGAGAGCAGCAAAAACTGTGTCTCCTTTCTTGTCTTTCAACGGCAAAGCCCACAAAACTTTACTAAAAACATCAATGACAGTGAGAATAAATGTATAATTTCTATTTTGTTTGCGAAGGTGCTGCATGTCACAAAGATCGGCCTCAAATAAATATTTTATTCCCGGAACAACATAGCGATTTCGTGGAAAGTTTTTCCGTTTCTGTTTGTGTAGCGTGTGCGAGTCTTGAGTCTTTAAAAATTCTTTTGCTGCCTTTTCTGTCACACCAGCAGCTTGTGCCAGATTTTTTGCATTGCTAAAGCTAGCAGGATTTTTAATATTTGCGTAGATTCTGAGCAACTTACTTGAGGGAGAGCCAACGGATCTTTTGACCATTTTTATTTTGCTTTTTGTTTGAAAAAGTTTCCGGAACTTCTATTTTCCTTCGCTTGCCTCCGGCGTGCTCTTCAGCTAATATCTTTCTCTTGGGGGCACCGTTTGGTTTCAATCGCTTGCTTTTAGGAAACTGTTTGCCTTCGTACTTTCTCTTCTCACCACGGTTGTATTTTATTTTCTTTGCAGCGGCTCCTTCGTCGTCGTCGTCGTCGTCAATTTTTCTCTTTCCTGCTTTTTTCTGCTTTGGTGACGACTGCTCAATTTTTTTCAGCAAAGCTTCCTGCTCACGCTTGATGATACTTTTTATGTCACCTCGCCGTTTTACTTTCTTTTGTACTTTCTTTGTTGGTTTTTTTAATTCCAACTTAATTTTCTTGTAATCATCCTCAAAATCAAAATCATCAATTTGTCTTTTGACTGCTGATTTCCTGTCAGGCGAGGGGTTCTTTTTAATTACTCTCTTAATATCCGGTTCTATTTTTATTTTTCTTTTCTTGCTTTGGTCGTCGTCGTCGTCGTCTAGCTTTCTCTTTGAAGCTTTGGCAGGAGCGAAACGTTTAGAGGGATGATCTTCATCAGACGACTTTCTTTTCAAGCCGGCTGTTTCGATCTTTCTAACCTTGGTGAGACTCTGGCTCTCGTCAAAATTTTTTCGTTTTCTCGAAAGATTCGGTGTGTATTCTTCAGGGATGTTTAATTTGTCTACAACTTGCACAAACGCGTCCCATCCAGCTGGAGGTTCTGACTGATTGTGAGACACGAGATGATTTACCAATGAATTTATATTGCTTCCTGAAGGGAGACCAAAGATTTGAGCTTGACCCGAAGGACCCCACGAGACATCATCGCTCTGTTTTAATATATTTTTAACCACATTAAAATTATCTGTTTCCATTCGCTCAGGGGAGTCGTCTCTGTCATTTTCCGGTCTTTCTTTTTGAGCATTAAATTTTAATAGATACTTTGAGAGAATATCATTATACATGGTCATTTTATCAAAATCTGACACATTTTTGCGCGACAGAATATTTTCAATTTCACTGTCAATGTTGCGGAAAGATGCAACAGGTGCTGGAGGCTGTGGTACGTTTTCTACTTGCTCCGCGGGGACCAAGACCATTCGTCTTGCGTGCATCATTTTAAAATCAGACCTTGGATAATTGCGCCGATTATAGGAGCGAGAAGGGGAAGAAGAAAACCACCACCCTGTTTTAAGATAGCTTTCTTCTTGTTTTTCAGCGGCACTTTTTTATCACCGAGCTTGCGTAATATCTTCTTGTGACGGGAGAGTTTCTTGAACTGAAGCTTCGTCAGAGGAACCGAGCTATTTAAGGTGTTGTGCACGCAGTCGCACAGACATTCGTACAGTTCATCGTCAGCCTCTTGTAGAATTTTCTTCCTGCCTTGCTCGCCTACCTTCCTCAAACGCTTGAGCGTAGGAAAGCACGTCTTTAGTCTCTCAGTCATTTTCGTAGACTGATTTAATTGTACTCGTTGCAAAGCTTTTATAACGAGCTTTTCTTTGGAACATAATAGATGGTTTGCTCGTCCGGGAAGATCTTTGTACATGGTAATACCAAAGCGGAATTTTCGACCTTGATCAAGGTCACCTGTCAATCATCTTTTTCAGGGTCGTACCTGTCAATCATTTTTGAGGGTCGTACCTGTCAATCATTTTTTCAGGGTCAATCAACTGACAGGTAAGGCGCACAGAATTTGAAGGGGGTAGAAAGTCGGTTGTGAGAGAGTCGCTGTATCAGGCGCACAGCAAATAGGAGTATGTCAAAGGAGGGTGCATCGGTTGAAGGTCACACTGTGTGTTGGGCTAACTGAACAAAAGAGTTATCACGAGTGCAGCACGGGGGTACGTGTGCAACGTCCGAGAGCTCGATTGAGACTGACTGAGAAAATAAAAAATTTTGAATTTAAATAAAACTTGACATGTGTCATATAAACCTGTCAAAATAGGTATATAAAGCAAGGCGCGCACTTTTTGGGGCAACATTCGAAGATTGTCAGCCCTGGCTGCGCGTCGCACGTCCCCCGTGCGGTTAGGGATTAAATACATGAAAAAAAAAATCTACCTGAGAAAGGGAAAAAAGAGAGAGTGTGGTCAGTTCGCAGTGTTTTCGTGCATTGGAAACAAGTGAAAATGGCTGAGCTGGAAGAAAATATTGTTAAATTGTGCTACAGGCAGAGTATGATATCAAAAAGTGTGCGGAAAATGTTTGGCAAATGTGCCAAAATTTTGAGTGATGAAGTTGAAGAGAACGATTTGTTCCTCAGCGAATTCTGCCAAAATCGTGGGGTAAGAAAATGACCACGTTTTTTTTTTTTCTCGAAATTTCTTGAATTAAATTAAAATTTTTTTATTTACATTTTCTTCTTTTCAAATAGGAACTACCCGCAATTCGAGAGGGTGTATGGGATTGCGTGCGCAAAAAAAAATTAGAGGCGCTCGATTATAATTTTTTAATTGAATTTCTGCGCATTTCTCATTACAACAGCCGCACGGCTCAAGCTTTGCTTTACGTGCTGGGCCGCAGATTGCTAGACGAGAGCGACGCACCCCCCATGAGCTTGTACGAAAAGTACGCTCTGCTTTTTCATCTCGGCAGACTATATTACGAGAGCACGGTATTTATTTTTTTTTTATTTGGTTAAATTTCATTAAAATCATTTTCAAACTATTCAGCTTGAAGACGCCAGCGTAAACAATCAATTCGCTTCGGCTGGAAAAGTTGGCGCCAGCAGCGAGCGAAAAGGCAAGAAGAGATCGGCGGTGGCGCTGTCGTCACCTCAATCGGAGGGGCGTGGTCGCGCAAGCAAGAAAATCAAAACAAACAGTGTCGGCTTTGATGGAGATTCGCCGGAGAAAATTGAGAAGAAACGTCGTCGCCGCGGGTCCTCCGATGAAAATGAGGAGCTTGAAAAGAAGAAGAAGAAAGTGGTCGACATCTGTCCAAACAGTCGGCCGCCTGAAAATGCAGAGAAAAGGAAGAAGAAAAACATCGAGGCTGCACCCGATGCACGGTGCAAATTACAGGATGAGTCGGAGAAAAAGAAGAAAAAGAAAGACCAAGTGTTCGCTACTCATCACGGCGCTGAAGAAAAGCTTGAAAAGAAAAAGAAGAAAAAGAACAACTCGGAAGACTGCGAAAATCAGAGGCCAGACGGCACCTCGGCGGGGCGTGTGAACGTTCCAGGTTCTTCACGAGGGCCGTGCATCGCTGTAACCTCGAGCGGCTGCAACCAAGGAAAGGGACTGCAGACGAAATCAACTGCTAAATTGACCAAGGAGGAACGGGCGGAACGACGTCGGAAGCGGTCTCTAGAATTTGACGCGCAGGTTTTTTCGTTCAGCGAGGACGAGGACGAGGAACGCAACTCGGACGACGATTTTGTTCAACCGCGAAAAATATCCGAGTCATCTATAAAGAAAACACCTGCAAAGAAGCCAGTCAGGGTGGATGACGACGAGGACATTTGGGAATATCGACCGATTACTGTCCCGCAAGAGACTCGGAACCGCAGCGAAGAAATCAGCTGCTCTCAAGTGTTGGACGAATTCCTGAAAAAAGATATCGATCAACTGCCTCCACTCGACCAGGAACAAATAGAGGTGATAAATTGTTTATTAATAAATATTTTCAATTAATTAGGAAAAAAAAAATTAAATAATTTTAATAGATAATTTTTCATTTTTAATAAATAATTTTTTTCAATTGAAATTAAAAATTCCTTGTATTATGTTTTAGATGTTCAACGCTCTACAACCACCGGTGCCAAAAACTAACCCTCAGGTAATTTAAACCTAAAATTTATTTAACAGCACTAAATAAAATCATATTTTCAGGCAAGAGAGCTTGGGCGTGGTCAAGCTGGCCACCTTGAACAAGAGGTAAATTTAATTTTTATAAATAAAGTCACATGAATAAAAGTTTTGTAATGTAAATTAAATTCTTGTTTTTTCTGAAATGAAAATTAAAATATTGAAAATGTTTACCATGTGATTGTTTGTGTTTCAGAATACCGTCTTACGTCCAGCTAAATCAACTCAACGCATGGGTTTCTCTGTAAATGATTATTATTTTCCAAATAATTATATTTTAATTACAAATTGTTGTTTTTAGACTAACGAGCCACCCCAGCTGATTCATGGCTGTTCATCACAGGTATGATTGGAATAAATATTGAGTTTGTTATTGATATTAAAGTAAATTTTTTATAAATTTTCAGATGGGGGATCAGCTGCGTGGCCAGACCGAGCGAGTGACACCACTTGAACCTGAGGTAAATGTTTTTTCTTTGATTAGATGTTAACAAACAGACTGTAATTGTAATCATTCTTTTCTTAAATTAAATAAAAGACAACTTATATGTAATTATTTTAATTTCAGATCATTATTTTACATGATCAGCCGCTCCCGCCGCTTCACAGCTCATCGCCACCACAGGTAGGTTTTAGAATAAAAATAATTTTATTACCAAAACAAAATCTTATTTTTCTAGAATCGGATCAGCGCCCTGACTCAAATGTGTCAAAAACTGAACTCGTCATTCAACGACAAACCTCTACACCAGGTAATCAATTATTTTGTGTTAAAAGTAATCAATTATTTTATCATTATTTATGTTCCAGGTCGCGAAAATGCCAAAAGGTCAACAGAGTCTACGAACGGTATGTATTTAAATATTTTTGCATTTGTGGTCATTTATTAATAAAATATACAATTTACAGTACCCAAAACCAGTTGATGGATCGATCCTGTCCAGCCTGCTTCAAGATCCAGCAAAATCTGCACCTACTGTTCATCAGGGACAACAACAAGCGCCACTGCATCAACCAGGACCACCAGTACTTCAACAACAGCAATTGCCAGCACCAGAAATGTTACAACAACAGGGACCGCTTGCAGTGCAACAACAGCGACCACCAGAGCAACAACAACAACAACGAAGACCATCCAAACTGAGTCTACGAAGGGTATGTATTTAAATATTTTGCTTTTATGGCCAATTTATTAATAAAATGAACAATTTACAGTACCCAAAACCAAATGAAGGATCGATCCTGTCCAGCCTGCTTCAAGAGCCCGTCGACGATCCAGCTAAACCTGCTCATCAGGAACAACAACAACAACAACAAGCGCCACTAAGACAACCAGCGCTGCAACAAAATGGATCGCCTGCACTGCAACAACCAGGACCAGCTGTACTTCAACAATTGCCACCATCAGAAATGTTACAACAAGGACCGCCACCAGAGCAACAACAACAGAGACCAGCCAAACCAACTTTACAGCAACAACCAGCAGAGCAACAACAGCTGGGTCCTCAACAATCTGTCGCTCAACAAGCACCAACATTGGAGAAAGACCAACAACCAGGAACATCTCAGCCTTGTTCTTGTGAATGTTGCGACCATGTACCAAGGGAATCTCGTAAAAAGAAGAAGAAGACACCTCCCAAGATTTTGCTCGTCGTCAGACGTTACCCTCGCAGAAAAACCACAATCCTCGGTATTAGAAAAAAGAAACGCCCTGCTCGTCCAGCAGCAGCAGCACCAGCAGACACACCTGCGCCACAACCGTCGACACCAACTAATCTTGCACCACCTCCTGCTGTCCCAGGCCCTAGTGGTTTAAGACAAGTACGTATGTTGGGTGTTGACGGTCGCATTTATTATGTCAGATGCTGAATAAAATACCCTCTACTCAATAATTTGAATCTTTGCTTTTGATTCATTTTGAAAAACATTGATAAATAAATTTTTTTTTCAAGAAATATAAAAAATGCAATTATAAAAATGTTTTGAATAAAAATAAATAAATAAATATAAATTTAATATAAAAAATAAAATAATTAGTAATTTAGATAAATATAAAAATATTTCTCTTGCAAATTACAAAGTAAATTCAATTAATATAAGTAAATCTCTGAATTTTTTTTTCAAATCTTTTGACACAATCAGAGCATTCATTTGTTTTTTCTTTTCATTTTTAGATTCAAGTTCAACAAGGAGGCGGCCAGCCGAAAACATTTAAAATTATAAACAGGAATGTATCCGTCAATGAAAATGTACACACCGATAGCATTGAAATGCAAGTTACCCTCGTACAACCTCGCGAAGGTGAGGACCCTTTTGAGCATGTCGCTGAAACAATAAGAGAAATTGTGGAGCACTGTAAGGTGGGTGCCCACCCCGATGATCGAATCAGTCTCGAGTTCACGCACACTAGCGACGGGGACATCCCTCCGATAACTGTGCCGGTCGTGAGAATCTCAGAACTGACTGGTGACAATGTATTAAATGAAATTGAACGTATCGCACAGAGTAACAAAACGTTTGAGACTGCAGGATTGTTGAAAATTGTTGCCAATAGAACAATCCTTCAAGAAGGCCGCACAACCAGACACGTAAATTTGTTCAATTTAAAGGGTTTAGGATTTGAGCGCGCCATAAT